AATATTTTAAATATTCAACAAAAGCAACATAATTAGTGACATGAATGGAACATGTTATGGGTAMGGCAGAAATGTCTAAATTTAAATAAAATGGGGAAATGTTTTGAGCTGTAAATATACTTATTGTACTTCAACATATGCATTAGTGATAGCTTTTTCTTTACCAAAATTTACCTTTCCCTACATGTAGTATAAATCAGTGCCAAATGTGTGATAAAACTTACAAGTTCTTAGCATAGTGTCATCCTAGGCATAATCTTAGTTTACATTTTTGAAATTTGCATTAACTGCATTAGCAGTGATTGCAAATGTCACTAATACACAAGAAATACACTCTATCAGATTGTTATGTTTTGAACTCCAGTGCTCATTGCAGCAGGAGACAAGCTGGGTGTGTTTGCTGTGCTGCAGATTTCCCATGTGCTGGCAGATCTTAGAGATGTGGCCTCATTTGCAGGCAGCTGACTCACTGCTTTGGGGTCCCTTTCTCATTCCATACTGCACCAACATATTTCATTCTTAAAAATACCCTGCTCTTCAAAAAGATGTGATKCACAAAGTGAACAGAATATAAAAACCTTCAGTCTTTAATTTTGCTCTGATTTACATCTATGCTCTTTTTTACAACCTGCAATGTAAGCTTTAGGCAATTGCTCTGTACTTCTTCAGTAGTTTYCTTCTGTTTAAGGCCTGTTTGTCCCAAGTGACACCTACTTGAATCTTTAGAGGCCCTGTTTCCTAGACTCTGCAGATTTCATCTTTTGATTTTAAGACAAATCTACTCCATGGAATGAAGCTGTAATGACTCTAGAGCTTTTATAAGAAAGTGGCACCTAATATTTCACATTTAATAGTTGCAGCAGAATAACAATTTAAACCTCAGTTTAAGTAATTCCATTGGGTGACTTCAGATACAGAGAAGTTTGGCTTTTTCATTTTAGTACAAATAGAAAGAGTTGATTATAAAAAGACCTTTGTTGAAATCTGTCCTGAAGATAATAAACTAAAAAAATAATAAGGCATATTATAAAATGGCACATTTTAGCAAGTCTAAACTGCAACTCTTCTTGCCATTCCAGCCAAAAAAAAAAAAAAAAAATCCAAACTCCACCTAATTAAGATCAAATTAAGATCATAGAGGAGCATTTATACAAAAATAACAGAGTAATSCCTTAGAATAACTAAGTGATAACTTGCTAATCACATAGAATGACTATCAAGGACACAGCATTATGACATAACTGATTTTCACACTCTCCCTGGAGCTATGGCTTTATTTTTTGAATGCATTTCTATGCTGAAGATATATTGACTTCTCTAACCTCACGCATCTTTTTTCCATATGTCATATCCTTTTTGTATGCATGTACAGGGCTAAGTGCCCACTTTTCCAGCAGGTCACTCTTCTCGATGCATTCAAACAGTGACCTGGATATACAGCCGTACACCACATCTCCTATTGCTAGCATCTTTTCATTACAGCTCGTACTAATTACCACCAGTTCCACTAAGCAGATTCACCAGAGCATCTCTAGAGATAACCCCCTTGGGAGTCAACAATCTGAAACTGTAAGTTGCCTTCACATCTATGAATTCCTTTCTTTAAATGGCATTCAGAACGGTCAAATTCTTTTAGCATTGGCCTCAGGAATATGCCATCAGCCTCCAGCACTGGAGGAGGCACCAGGAAGAATCTTAGAATATATTAMCTCACATAACACAAGATAGCTATGAATAAATATGTAAATTTAATTTGGCTTGCATTAGATTTTTTTTTTTTTTACTAATTTTAGTTATAGTTGTGCCTTTCCCTTATGCCTTTCCCAATAATTTACCAGTTCTTTTTCTTTATGAACTTCTCCAAGGGTGTGTAAAATAGTATGCTTTCCCTTAGGATACTAGCATATTTTAAACCACACAGGTTTACTCACAAACATTTGAAAGCTAGTTTCAAAGATGACAGAGGAACTTTTCTTGCTAATGCCAGTTGGGACAAGAAAGGGATGATGACCACAACTTGTCTCTAAGAAGGCTTGTGTGGCCTCAGAAGGCAGTGGCCAGCAGGAAGGTCTTCACTGAGATGGTAATGCAGCCCAATCCCTCCACTGGGATGGTAATAGAAAAGGTTCCCAGAGACTTCTGTAATCTCTGCACCTGGAGATTTTGAAGACTCAGCTGGACAAGGCTCTGAGGAACCTGACTGAACTTTGAATTCTTCTTCCTGAAATCTTTCCCCTGCTTGGAGAAGGAACAGTTATGTAAACTTCAGATAAACAAAGATGATCCACCTCCACTTTTTGGTAGTAAGAAACGCATGTGGTTTAGATAGGAGCTTTGAACAAATCTTAACCAGACTACATTGCAAGTGCCCCGAGTAGAAGCAGTACGAGTTCGAACCATTGCAAGGGATATCTTTCCCATGGGTGTAGATATCCCATGCCGAAATTCACAGGCTTATGTTTCAATGGTGAAGACTATGAAGACCAGGTAGTGTTGCATCTAGATGGGTGAACAATTTTTTGGGACTGTTATAGGCAGAAACAGAGAGGCTTGTTGTTTCTAGAGACATTATTTGTCCTGACTCGGCAGAATGACTCATTTTTCCCTTTTTCTGAAATCGGAAGCAATAGAAGTTATATTGTCTAGATAGGACTTTGAAATGGGAGAAATTTCTGCTGCTTTTACACTGAARTATAAACAGCATTTATCTGACTAGCAAAATAATTAATTTTTATTTGTGTATGTGTTCTATAGGATGTGACTGGATGTTCCTGAGACTGTTCTTTTAAAAAGCATCTCATGAGAGTGTAACAAGCAGATATGCAAAAGCCCTGCCAACTTTTAGTACTTGGTTTGATACCATGGCTCATTTAAAACAGCATCAAAAAGAAACTGCAGTCAAAAATGTTTTGCTAGCAGCCACAGAAGAATCAGTTACTTTAAATCAGTGAAACCAGAAACAAATTTAGCAAGATTTTTATTTTTTGCTCCTATCTATAAAGCTCTTGATGCTCTTTCAGTAATGCCTCTGATARTATTCATACAGCACTATCCTTCAAACAGCTTCATCTTAGTGTCAAACTCATATGATAAAAGGAAAATGTGGATTTTTCTTTACATTTTTTTTCCATGACAGTTAAATCAGCTAAGCAGCTTCTGAACTACCACAGAGGAATTATCTACATTCACTTTGAAAACAAATGTTGTTTCTTTTAATCATTTTGTTTTCTCCTGTTATCCAAGATTGAACTCTGTACATAACAGGAATAAACCATTCCGCTCTCATCCCTTATATGCTCCACAGAAGTTATCTAATACAGAAATTCAATAAATCAATTTTATTTATATGGTAGTTCCACATAGCTGATTTAAAGGATTCTTAGTGTTACTGCTCAGCAGTTTCCCGTATACTGTTCCTCTCTTTAAAAATGTTTTCCRTTAAAAAATAATGCTGAGAACATTAAACTCATAAATCCACAGAAAGCAAAATTAAAGATTTTTACTGCAGCTTAGAGAGAATTTGTGCTTTGTACTGGTCAGCAACTTGTGCAGTCATGAATGCCATTTCAAAGCACTCCAGCATTTTGGAAGACAGAAATAACACAGACTCTAAGTAGCTACTCCACAGTAGCCATAGGGCTCCACAATGCAGCATTCTGAAAAAATCATGAGTTAAGCATAGGATTATGTATGTCATAACTAGTTAACTTGATTCTAACTTAGGTGGCTTTTATTCCCATCCTAAGAGATTTATGATATAGCTTATGTTCTCAGTATGTTCTCAGATGAACTATTATGGTCCTGCAAGAGTAATGGATATTGAACAGTACTGCAATATTTCTAACTGTGCCATTGCTTACTTTGCAATGAGATCTAGAAATCTTTTTGAAAAATTTCCAGAAATAGTTGTGATTAGCAGCAAAACCTTAATATAGATTTTATATAGCTTCTATGAAAAACAGACAAACAAATTTTGCAGGTCATTACTGCCTCAATGCAAAAATCCAGAAGGGCAATCTCATAGCAAGCGGCAAGATGCAAATTCTAGATGACACTAAACAATAGGATTCTGCTTTGTGGGTGCTGTTTTAAAATTTTAAACTGTAAATTTTACAATTTCACATACAGTCATATAGATCGCTGTCAAACATATCCCCATGAGTGCAGATGAATATGATCTTTGGCAAGCACAACAKCATGTCCATGAATCAATTTGTTTTTCAAGACCTGTCCGTTTAGGGTATGTTTGTACCATCTGCTGGAGGTAGAGGTGAAGTGACCTCAAACCAATCACGGAAGGGTCATTACTGTGGAGCTAGTAACTTTGCAGAAAGCCTGAATTACAATATAAACTGAGTCAAGTTAAAGTTCACTTAAGTGCACTTAAGCTGTCTTACAACCTTATGTTCCAAGTACAATTGGGTACAGAGCACACTGAGGAATCCAGAAGTCTTGAGCAGAACTGTTAGTTCAAAACAGGGTGATTTAAGGAAAAGAAAAGGTCTAAAGAACGCAATGATATTATATTTTTGCTATTTTCCTTAAGGATAATATTTTCATCAGAAGAATTATTCTAATTTCTGTAAATAGTAGTTCATCAGAGCCTAGACCACTTACCTAGAACTTGAAGAATGGTGAATTTTAAGTTTCCTAAGCCAATAGCAGCAACCTTTCAAAAGCACAAACTAATAATCATACTAACAGTTACCGAATAAATGGATAAGCTTGTAACAGCATTTATGTTTCCTTAGAACTGACTTGCCTAGCAGATTTGTTTTCTTAGAGCCTGACCTTGAACCTGACCCACCACCATGACCTTGTCCGACTTACTTTCACATGGTCTTTTAGGTGGTGCTGATGATTCCTAGCTGCCCTGCCCTGCTCACACTGCTTGATGCTGTGGGGCTGAGMAAGGCTGCTGTCTCAGCTGGTTATGCTTTGGTTTATCTGCCCTTGCTCAGGGAGCACCCAGATCTGAGGTTGCCTGACTGGGCCTCAGCCGTGATGGCGACTCTGGAAGTCATCTGCATGAAAGGGCCTGATGTAAGTAGTGAATGGGAATTTTAGGGGTGCCTACACATGGGACCCGTGGGTTAGCATTTTATTTCAGCCCAGCTGYGATGCTAAGGTGGTGTGCCAGTCCTCCCTGCTTGTGGTAGTGTTACGGAACAGCCCCCAGAGTAAAAAAATCTCAGCAGACGTTCTCAGAAATCATCGTTTTCAATGGCACTAACTTGTTGGCCTGTTGGTAGTCTGAGAAGACAAGAGATTATCAGGCATAGAGTGACATTCACTGAAAGGCAAAGGACAAGCAGTATCACTAAATTCAGCTAAGCCTTACAAAGTAGGAACATGGAAATGAATTTAAGCTTCAGCRAATTAGCCCCATTTTTGTATAAAGGTGACTGTCCTGGGTATTCTGCATGGCACCCTGGGAGCTGGACCTGGGCAGGGAACATTTTTGCTTCTGCCTTTCTAAAAAGATACAAAGAAACTCCCAGTTCTGTCAATCTGTTCTCCCATTAGTATTTTTCTTTTTGGTATAATATAATACCATGCAAGYGCAATATTTAAAGAACTTCTCTTGGAGTCTTTCCAATCTGTTCATTAAATTTGCTTCAAATCTTTTAAACTGAYGTTTTGAGTATGTAATTAATTTTCTAACAAATCAGGAAAGATRTTTTGCTGTCAATCACACAAGAATCTCAAGGAGTAATAATCTAGTGCATTTAGTTAATAATCAGAAACACACACAAGCAAATAGACAAAAAAAGTAGCACATTATCCTACAAGTTCACACTGATCTTTTCCAAGYATTGGGGGATGCTGTTGGAGATGGTCAGAAATTATCAGAGATCAGTATATTTTTTAATTCACAGAAAAATGAAGACTCTCTTAAGTCAGTTGAGAGTTAGAGACATAATTCATCTGTTATGAAGTAAATGCAAAAAAAAAAAAAAAATACCGTCGAGAAATTGAACTGTGATCTCAAGGAACATATAGAAACATGATGACATTACTTTCAAGTGCCTAGGCTCTGTTTTCAATATACTTGGATTTGCTAGGATTTTTTTATTATATTGCAAGCAGCTGCTCTTCTAGTACAGCATATGCCTGTCATCTGTCTATCAAGTGATTTCATTTCAGTATAAACAAGGAACAGTTTGGTCTCAAAAAATCAGATACGGAGAGCAGTCAATAGGAGAGGATTCATGGAATCTATTTTCTGTAAAGAAGAAACATCTATTATATCTAGCTCATCTGCTTTGTGGTCTGTTTCTTGTTTTTCATTTTGCTTTTGCAATCTGAATGAACTATGGTCTACTGCATTTTGCAGCTGTGGATTGTTATTGTGTGCARGTTCATGAAGTTTTCAGAGGCGTGAGGGAATCCAGCTCTCCTCAGTCATCATTGACAGGCAGTTACTTGTGAGGCTCTCCTCTGAGGGCAGTGCTGGTTAAGGAAAAGCCACATTGCCTCTAAAAGTGGCAATTAGAGTCCTCTGGGCTTCAGCACCCCATCCGTATCCATGATACAGTGTCTGGATCATTTTCCTGTCAAAACCCTATATGGGACTAGTCTTAAGAATCTCCTTGTCAGTAGTGTGGTACATGGTCAGTTTAGTAAAAAAGCAGTGTATTGCTACCTGCTGCACAGAGCTCATAAAAAGCCACACCAGCCCTAGTGACTGCGAACCTAGCGTAGGACACAGTGATGGCTTTATGCACTAGCTGCTGCCTCCTAGAAATGATATCTTAGAATGATCAAAGGCTTATGAAAATATCATTTTATGAAGTTTATAAAAATGTCAGCCCAGGAGCAGTCAAAAAAAGGCAAATAAAATGTTAGGAATAGAGAAGGAATGGAAAATAGAACACGGCWATGGTACTGTATAAATCTGTGTGGCACCTGCAAACAGCACCTGTGGTTTGGTTTCTCTGCCTCGAGAAGATTATAGTAGAGCTGGAAGAGAGAAAAGCAGTAGGGATGATCAAAGACAAAAAAAAAATATATCTCTTCGGTACAAGCAAAGACTAAACAAAATAGGTCTGCAGAGCCTGCACTGGGAGARGGAAAGGAAAGATACGATGAAAGGACTATAAAATCACGACTGACAAAGGAACAGGGGGATTCAGTTTGATTCACCTGGTCCTGTGAGTGGTCAGTCTGGCCACCATGATTTCAATGTGTGACTGGACACACTGGAACAGGATTAGCAATGAGCGGTCATACAAGTGTGGAAAAGCAATGAGCCTTGTTCCCTTGAACAAGGAAGAAAATGACAAATATCTGTGGCCTACACTGCCCGCATGCTGTATCTTCAAGGCACAGTACAAAGGGTCTGTACTTCTGCCAATTCTTATTTCAGCAAAAAATAATCCTTTCAGGATTAATGCCTTTCATGTTTACAGTTACAATGTATTTCCAAAGACAATGCATCTAAGGCAAGGTTATCTCCAAGCATTAGTTAGTGCATCTCTTGACAGGTATATACTATGCAATGCTATTTACTTCCACTGCTTCGCATTTCAATACTCATCAGTTTCAAGCCCAAAATATTCCAGTTCTTTAAACACATTATCATGGAAGGCTGATAGGAAGACTTTGACTTAAAACTTAAAAATAAAATACAACAAATGACTTTAAGTAATTTCTGTGCCTTTGCCAGCCTTATGACTCATGGCTTCACATTGTTTCRCTTAAACTATTTTGACAGTCAGCGCTGTAGATACACCGAAACAGAGAGGAAGATCTAATAAGAGTAAAATAAATATTTGTATGTTATTTCTAGTGCAAGAACAGACTGAAGACCAGCAGTCACTTGCAGCTGTTTCCTCCATTCAGAAGATGAGATTTAAAATAATAATACTTTGAATTCACTTATTTAAGCTTACTTCATTAGGGAGAATGATGGGGACAGTTACATTAAAGGATGACAGGACTGTGCAATTCAATGCGTGATAGAAGCAAGGACATAAACTTGGAGAAATAGAAAGGGCTAGAAAGGAAAGCAGGAATGCTGGAGATTCAAATACTGTCACTTCTCAGTCAGCAAAATGAAAAACAAAATAATCAGAGTTTGATTGTTATAATGATTTTATATGACTAAGAATCAAGTGAAATGATACACTAAGTTGCTGAATGTAAATATACCAATCATACATTTATGTGCACCAATGCCAGCTGCAGGTGTCCATAGTCTGATTTAGAAATACAGATTTAAAAAAAAAAGTAATTATTAACATTACATAAAGAAAAACAATATTAAAGATCCTAGAAACCAAAAATAAATATTTGATTTTATTAAATATTCATATTTGAATATTGATTTCTATGTTAAATTTGAATTTTGCAGTATTTCATTGAGTTAGTTATTTTTGGGTCCTTAGAATGGATTCACTTTTGTGATAAAAGACCATGTTCAGCAGCTTTTGTCTCCTAGCACAGTGATGCATTCAGCAGCAAATGTAAAGCTTGTCTTTCCAGAAGATAATGCTCTGTCACAGGCTCTTATTTATGGAGGAGACTACCCTGGGAACAAAGGACTATCACAAACCTAGAKGTCTTCTACTCCAGCTGCAACATATGTTCCTGCAGTCTGGCTTTACATCAGATGGATGGACAAACAGACCAGCCAAACTGGTATATTTATTATATATTATTATAGTATTATATGTTTTTACTAAGTATCAGTACATTAAAAATAAACTTTCCAACTGCCTACACATCACTCTCAGGGGAAAAAAATGAAAGAATAAGCACAAGAGAGATGATAATCAATGTGCTTAATAGATGACTTGAAAGCACTCAGACTCAAGTGACAGGAATAGCAAGAGTGCATGAAACCAGTATTAGCAAAGTAGGACTTGAAGCCTAGTAATTTCACTTTCACTATATGAAATTGCGGTCATGCAATTGTTATTTTTTCTTTTTAAGTTTTTCTGTGTGTGTGTGTGAGATTATCTCACTATAGCATTTGTTTGTGCCAAGAAGGTGCTGGAAAGGTGTTGTCCAAACAATCAACCACTGYTCCTCAGTTCAGAGGTTCAGCAGTGTAAATGTCCTAGACATAATAGACATAAAAGACATAAATTTGTAAAATTGTAAACAGTGGTATTTCTCTTTATTTGTAAATCACTATAGCCTTTCTTTTCTGTATCTGGATATGAAGTTCCCACAATGGTGAACTTCAAAGGCACTTTGGTAAATATCTCAAGCCTGGTTATCTTATCTGAATACATTTGTGTATATTATGAGAAGCCCAGAATAGATGTTGATGTTCAAGCAACTTCAAATAGCCAGCAGTTTCCATATTTCTAACTGCTTTGATGATCTGAGACTCATTTGCACATTGAACTCCAATTGATTTCAGTGGAAGTTGAAGTGCTTTGGAGGAGCTGGGCCAGAATACAAAATATCCAAGCTAAATTTGCACTGGCAATCTTCATTAACAAGTTGCTTTTAGCCTTTAGAYATTCATTACTATGGCCTTCCTAATAAAAAGAAATACTAAACTTGTACTTGTGTATCTTGACAAAAAAAAACTCCTTCCCCCAGATGAATTGGAGTAAACATAAAAATAGTGGGTTTTTTTTACAAATATAAATACAATTCTGGATATTATAAAGTTAAGTAATTTATCAACCTTCGGTTTTAAAATATAACTTCATGCCAGTGCTGGTAAGGGGGACAATTCCGGTCCCTGACCACTGGGAGGTAGCAGATGTATTAGGCATTCATTAGGGAGAGCTCCTCAGAGCCGCTTGGTACATCACCTAGTACATAGCCCCTGAGATCCAGGCTAGTGCAGCATGCTTCTTTTCTCTTTAGATTTACGTAGTATTGTTCAAAATGCTATATTAGATATGGTACAATAATAATTATAATAATAAAACTTATATAAAAATGTGTATTTTACATAAAAATTTATGGTGATCAAAACTTCTATGAGAAAGCTGTGAGCAATAACTACTGAAAATGTTAGCACACAAATTGCTTTTTTGACTTTATTTTGCAGTGCCTACTGGAAAAATGATTCAATGATCGGATTTCCACACAGGGTTATCCTCCTAATAATAGCCACTCTGTTTTCTTGCTCGTGATCTCCACCAACATCACTATCCAGATGACAGAAAATTCCTGGGTTCTTGCTCTTTTACTTGGTGAAATATATACAAACATGTAAAAAAAAATCACCAATTCATACACTGATTTAATAAAATATTTTTGTCTGTATTTTTTTCTAGAGAATAGAACAATACTTTTGTAACATTAAATATTCACTGTTTGCTGTGTGACTAAATATCTTATTCAGAAAATTTAGTGCACACATACCATATCAAAAGGCTATTGTAAACATTTCAACAGTTCTTTGTTGTTCTACAAATATCATGAGAATAGCTCTTTCTTTCACATAGTTTATTAAAATRTAAAAAAGTCCACTTGTACAAATGAATTATGAATAAGAATAGAAAAAGTCATACTAAAAATGTAGCTGGATTTTGTTATTCCTTCAATAAGATCATGTGAGCAGCTCCATTGATTTAATTTACACTGTTCAGYAGGGACTGCAAATATGAACATGAGATATTACAAGCAGACCTTAATTTAGAGTTACCTACAGAGCCAGATACTTGAATTATACGTCAATGTTTTGGAGGAAGAAGAAGTTACAAATAAGAATGTGCATTTCTCCTTCAATATTATAATCAATATACTAAATGGTATCTGCCTTCAGGCASGAATATAGCCAATTATAATTTCTTCTTTCCCTTAAAAATCTCCCTCTTCAAATGTATTTATTAGCAAAACCAAAGTTAGTTGCATGGTATATGAATCTGTCAGTGACTGGTCCACAATATTTATTGCTTGGCTTCCTAATCAAAACAAGGTTTGATGAGTGCAAAGTCAAGTGGATGTTCAAGACACAGTTTTAGTAAGACATTTTTTTCACGGTGTATTTTATATATATTCTCGCATTTCAAACAATGTAATCTGTGGCTTTTGCTTAAAAAAATGCTTTAAAGTTCGATATTGAGGCTTTGGAGAGCTTCACACTGCCTTCCAGTGACTCCTCACATTGTCAGGAGTGTAAGTGATACCATTATTATGTAACTACATTTTTATTGCATCTAATTTTGACCATCAATAAAATAAGCATTGCAAGGTTAAAAATCAGGCCGTGTTCATGATGATGATATTCAGTAATAAAGACAGTATCAAAAGCCAAACACCCAGTCTGAATTCTAATCAGACTGTCTGATTTTACTTGACTTCAGTCACTACTGCTCAGAGATCTCATCTTTCATTATTTCCCAGGTAGCTGGGAACTGGGAACTTTAAGTTCAACGTAAGTGGTTTTTAGAATTTTCTGGAAGTAGTAGCATCTAACAAATAAGATTGATCTAAAACAATTTGGTCTGSAAGCTACACTTAAATTTACAGAATAATAGCCTACTTTCCTGAGTTCAGGRAAAAAAATCCAAAGTAATTTATGATTTTTATTTTGTTACTCCCATTTCAATTCCAGGCCAATCTTGGAAAYAAATAAACAGAAAATATTTAAGGTTTCTACCTTAAAGATTTTGTGATTTTTTTGGTCTCATAATYTTAACTTAATCAGATTAAAAAATCAGAATCTTACATTTCTATTGGATTGCGAATATCAAACACTAGAAATCGCTCTAGAGAGCRTTTCCTTTCTGTAATTTAGGTCTATTTTTCCTCTTTTCTTCCCTTAAGGCTCTATTTTGATTTGCAGAAACCTAAGTATTACCTTATCAGTGTACATGTAGTAAATATCAATCTCACCATGATATCATGATTGTTCTTTTTTGTTGTTGTTTGGGATAAGGGAATAATGATAAGAACACCATTTACTAATGTTATGCTCTAAAGTTCTAAAGATGTCTATYGCAATTTAAAAGTTTATCAAAAGTTTCAATAGACCATCTCATTTTCCCCCAAAATCAGTCTTAATGAACCAAACTTCTTCCTAAGCATGGATGCCAAAAAAATGTGATGACATCTACAATTAATGGCAAAAAGATGTAAGAGTCAGTGGTTAAATTATATCCTCAACCTGAGAAAGTTTTTAACCCTTAGTCTTTTCTCTCTGCCTGGAAACTAGGCTAGCAATAATTTAAAACACCTGGCTATTTTCCAAAAAGGGAATTTATGATTTCTTTGACCACAGAGAAGAGAATAGAAGGAACAGGATTCTAGTTCAGTGATTAGGGCACTCACGTCTGAGGGAGGAGAAATCTGTGCTCTATTACTATTCACAGAATTAGTTCCTTATTGTACTCACTGACCTTCTASTGCTAGATTTCCAAAAAGACCTGGACAATTCTCCATAGAAGTGAAATGAAGAAGGTGGTAAAGGCTAGAAATGAGAATTTTATCACTTTATTATCTGCTGTTTTAGTTCTGGAATGCCTGTGGATTTTGAAAAGACATTAATGCAAGTTTTAAGTCATTTCATGCCTGGAAATCCCAAATGCTTTCTTGATGGTAGTGCAAGATCTGCACAGGAACCACTTCATCATTGAAGATCCAATCACAGGGCAAGGTTGTTTCCAATAGGGTAATTTTAGTGACAAAACTTTCATAAGGGAAGTGACAAGGGCAGAGATTTTTTGCTTTGGGAAAAATTAAGCCTTAAATTGTTTGTGGTGAATATCTACAGTAGGTATTTGAATTCATCTCCTTCAGCAGACAAAAATTTTTTAGTCTCAAGAGCTGTGGTGGAATGCAGATGATGTTGCATATTTTGTTAAGCTTCAATATATTTTTTATAATTATACAATCAATACTGAAAACCACTTGCCAAAAGAAGAATGTGTGCTATTTGAAAAATAATATATGTATAAAYGTTTTTCTATACTTAGGTTTTAGAAGGGTGCTGACATTCACTTCCTGTGATTTTTATGATTTGCTTAAGATTTAAAAAGGACTTGTGCCAGAAAGGATTTAAAAACAATCCATAGCATTAGTTCTTAATGATCTAATCTTCAGCCAGGAAATACTGCTAAGAGAGAAGAAAGTGAATAAATGAATAATCACCGTTGCTGCTGGACGTTTGCTGCTGGAGTTTTAGTGCTGAATCCGGTTTGTAATGTATTGATTGTTTGGATCTGTAAGACACAAAACCACTTGCTTTGATCTATTGATTTTTCAAATAATTTCTTAGCTGATTTAGCCCAAAATGCTGTCCTTGAGTGAATTTGTCTCTCAGTTGTCTCTAGAACATGACATGCTTATTTGAAACATTTGCTAGCAGTTGACAGAAAAGACCAGAAGTTGTTAAAAAATATCAGGTAGTGTTTTATTCACTCCAGAAGCTGCGTGCCAGCTGGAACATCAGCTGCCATTTATCCTTAAGGAAAGACTGTGTAACAGGGCCCAGGCAAAGCTGAATGATTTACTGAACTTACGGGAGTACCAAGGCACCAACCACCAAGCCTGAACACTCCCTGCCACAAATCATTGACAAGAAAATACCCTTAGCTCCATTCTGCTTTAAAATGAAATATTTTAGAGACATTCCTTCATATTTTGGCGCAGTTTTACTCGAGTAAGAGTGAAATCTATATTCCTGTTTGCCATAGCAGGAAACTTCAGYGTCACTACACTAAAAGAAGACTTGTCAATGCTACAGGAACTGAACCATGCAGATGTTATCACTATCCATAACTCACAAAGTTCAGTGACATTTAAATTCTTTCCAGGAAAAAAAAAGCTTTTAATCTTAGTAGTAAAGACTGACACTCAAAGGCAGCAGTATTTCAGTAGACAATATTTTTTGGCAGTGCTATTCCATCAACATTGAATTCAATTTGCATGCAAGAGTAGCAGCTCAAATATTTTCAGCCTTTACAGTTTGCATATGAAATTTAGCATCTAGAAGGTACTAGTTGTTTAAATTTGACTCTGTATTTCTGAAAAGTTAAGCAGGACTCATGTCTCAGAGACGCAATAAAATGTATGTTAGAATTAGTTTAGCCTGCCACTTGCATTGAAGTGAGGCCAATCATACCACTGATTTCAGTAGAATGGTTTGTATTATTCATCTTTAAAACTAAGATGAAACATTACAGGTTTTATATGACAGATAATGAAGACATCTTTTGATTTTTGGGTCAATAGATTCATCATAATCCTAAAAACACTCTTCACAATATACAATTCTGTGCAACCTCCAGACTATTCAGTGGGGTGTGCTGAGTGAATTGAGAGAGGTGAAAATGTACAATCTCAACACTGAATTCAGGCAAGTAATTCAGGCATTGCTTGTCAGCAGCTTTGGCAAYGTGTAAGCTGTACAAGTGAGGCTAGGCCAGATAGGAGGCCTCAGCTGTGCACATAACAGAGGCCATCAAAGGAAACGTGCAGCCGCCTTTGACCAATTTCCTTAGCAGGCTGCTRTCTTGGAAAACAGTCTTATGGTGTTTCAGCTGGTGAAACAACTCTGAAATATACTTTCCAGCGCTAAAGCACTGGAAAAAAAAGAATTATTTCTCCAAATTGTAGTGCAACTAGAGCAAAATATTTCTACTGATCCCGTTTAGAAAGAGGAATTTTTATTTATATTAAAAGATAATTGAACACACTTTGAGGAAAGGCTTTGAGAGAGTAYGACCGGAGAAGACTAACAAGTGCGCAGTGCAAATGTCCATGAAAATATATATCCGAATATAGAAGGGTCACTACTAGGATCTCAGGTGACCAAATTATTGAGATGTATACCAAAAACTGAGTACTTGCAGGCTCTCAGTGAAGTCAAGAACCATTTTGCTGAATCAGAGAGCAAATTACTATAGGTAGGCAAAAGTAAGTATGTGATATTCACCTAAAAACTTCTGCAAACTGCTTACTGGTGCGGATAGGATAGGCTTTAATCATTTATTAGGTTATAAAAGTTTATTTTTAAAAARACATGTCTAAAATGAGCTTTACTGCTTATTTCTAAAAGTAACCAAAATAATTCTGCAAGCTCTGCAGTGTTACATGTTCCTGTTAGATGCCAGTATAATATCCTTAAAAGTATGACCACAGACAGTGCTCTCCCTCTGAGGTTTGGATCGATCACCTTATATAAGCAAGATAAATAATATTCTGCAGCATGAGATTTTTTATTTTAGTCACAGAATGCTGTGCTTGATTTTTGACTAAAGGTGMGGTGACGGGCGCTGTACTCTCTTCCAG